GATTCTCTCTATAAGCCTCTTAAAAGTATCTTATATCGGGCAGCTAGATGGCGCAGTGGATAGAGAACAGCCCTGGATTCAGGAAGACCTGGGTTCAAATTTGGCCTCAGACACTTGACTCTTACTAGCCTTGTGACCTTAGGCAAGTCACTTCACCCCATTGCCTTGAGGGAGAAAAAAGTATCATATCCTTTCTTGGTTCTGATGTTTTCCCATATTGACTATAACAGTGTTGGCCCAGTTCTCCCAGCAAGCAACTCCTAGCACTTACCACATATGAAAATGTGCCCACTATCAAGATACACACACACACAAACACAATCATAATAATAGATAATATAATATAATAGATATATTTGGTTTACTTAATTTATGTATAAACTAAAAGTCTTTCCACCAAAAGTTTGGACCTAGTTTTTTTTTTGTTTTGTTTTTTCATGAACACCATCTACTAAGGGGTCAAAGATTTGGATTCTATATCAATGAAGGGAGTGTGGACACTATGACCCTTCTCTCTCTTCTCTTCTCTTCCCCTTTTCACTTATTCCATCTCTTCATATCTCCTTTCCTCTCTTCTCCAATTCCCTCACCTCTCTTTACTTGTAAAATAAGAATTTGCATTAGCACAGGGTTAATTTGAGGAAATCACTTTGGAAATGTAGTAGAAATATCTATATTTACCACTGAGGCAGGGTTGACCCTTACTTCATTCTTTCTTTTGTGTTTCAAGTCTGCAAAATGTGCCACCTCTGCCCCTAATCCTTTTCATTGAAAAGCTATTGAGAAGCCCCAGAACAATTTATATGACCTGATCCAGCTGCCAAGGAAGGAGGTGGGAAATTAAAAGAAGATGGAAAGGAGATATGAGTGTCTTTCGTTTTCTCCAAAAGGCTCAGTAGGAGATGTTTACCAGCAGTAGGTATATTGAATGGATACTGAAAAAGAGGACAGATAAGCAAAATCAATTCATCCTCACTGGGCCAGGAGTAGGAAACCAAATAGGTATATATTAGTTTGATGAAATGCCAAACATGGTTTATGCTTAAATCACAGAGGGACGGGAAATGACTGACACAAACAGTTATTGAGTGAAACAAGTTTTATTAGGATATATGAGCAGGTGTCAATCAGCAGCCCCTTAGTTCTCTGATACTACTGTAAAGATCCCGAATCAGTTCCTCAAACAGCTATATATCAATCTGGATGCTATATTTTCAATTACTGGGTATAAACTGGGTCCCTTCAAAATGCAACTGGGAATAACAGCAGTTGGGACTCCTGCTGCCAAAACTGAGTAACAGGAGACCTTTTAAATAAATTGAGGGTTTAATGCCCTTCAGGGTCTAGGTGGAAAAATACTGTATAATTACATTTCTTCCATGGGGACCTTTATGATAGTAAATCTTCCACAGGATGGAAAAATACAACCAAGCTTTCTGAACTGCTGGGGGGGGGGGGTCTTTATCACTTTCTCAAGGTAACATTCTCCCAACTTCGTCTTGTATAAAGTACATTAAAGGATGAGATAGGAGCCCACAGCAGCAGTATATATACTCCGTTTCTCTGGTGAGAAACCCAACAGATGAGAAAAGTTAATTCCTGAGAACCAGAAACTTTAACAGAAAAGCACAATTTAAGGCTTTCTTTATGTAAATGAGCATCATTGTTTAAAATATGTAAGAACGGAATCATTTTGTTCCTGAACATATGGGCAAAGCAGAAATGTGTGAATTTTTCCAACTTTGAATGGTCCCTGGTTTAAAGAGATTTCTTGAGAATTAGGGTCATAATGACACTTCTCTGTTAACACCATTAGTCGCCTCTTTCAAAGGCTTAATATTTCTTTTAAGTTGAGCACAGTTTAGTTTTCCTTCAAGCCAGGTTTATTCCACTTTGAGGGAAGCTGGAACTTCTTTCTGGCAAAGTGAAAAGAATCAAGTTGCTGTTGTAATAACAAAATAGAGGCAAGGAAATAAGTAATATGTGGTATTAAAAAAAAGGAAATTCACTGCTTCCATATAAATTTAAAAAAAAACATGATTTGCTTACCCACTATCTAAAATAAAACATACTATAGATATCATTTAACATTTTGTAATCATTTTATTATTTACAAAATTGAAAACTGAAAACTTACTATCACCCTAGACACTAAGAGGAGCAATAAAGATAAACAAGGATACATAGAAAAACAATTTCCAATTAGAGGGGGAAGGGTTGAACTGGATTATAGCTAGGATGTAAGGAACTAGTGGATGAAAGAATGATAAAAGAAAAGAGGGAACCATCAAGGAGAGATGCAATACATGAAGGATTGAAACTGAAAGGAAGAAAGAGATAATTAAATAGTCAAACTTCTGCAGTAGATGAGAAAGAATAGGATCAAAAGTGCTTCACTAAGACAAAGGACCACATGTTACTCAGAGTGAAGGAGAAAAGGGGCATGATGGAGAGGGTTTAGAAGTGCAGAGCAAGGGAGAAGAGGGAGATTTTACTCACCAGCTCAGCTATTAGATAGATAAATAGATAGATAGATAGATAGATAGATAGATAGATAGATAGATAGATAGATAGATGGATGGATGGATGGATGGATGGATAATCTGGCCTAAGGAAGATGTTTCTTTTCTTTTCTTTTCTTTTTTTTTAGTGGAAGATGTTTCTTCTTTAGCATTGAATTTTTGTTGCTGTTGTTTAATCATTTCAATCATGTCCTATTTTTCAAGACTGTGCTTGGGATTTTCTTGGCAAAAAGACTGGAGTGCTTTGCTGTGTCCTTTTCCAACTCATTTGACAGATGAAGAAACTGTGGCCCAGGGTCCTAATAGCTAGTTAAGTGTCCGAGTCTTCCTGACTCAAGGCCCAGCTCTCTATGCACTATGCCACTTAGCTGTCCTTCAGCACTGAATACTTTGGGAATTTTGAGGTTATATTTTACATTTGTGTGCCAAACTACAATTTGCAACATATTCTAATTACTTTCAGGAAATGGTTAATTAAAGGCTGTTTAAAATATGAAGATTAAAGAAAGCACCCTCCCAGATAATGGAGGGTACTGTAACTGTGGCTTATTTCCTTAAAGAGATTAGCAGTATCAAGACAGATAACCAAGTGCTATATACCCAGGAGGCATGCAGTAAATTTTTTATAACAACTTCTTAAAAATAGGCTAGAAATTAATTTAGATATAAATATTAAGATAGAGTTCTATGTTGCTGATGAAACTGTAAAAGTAATGCTCTTTTGTCATGAATATTTCAAAAAAGAAATTGAAGTAAATTATGTAAATTGCTATAAAAATTGATCTTGTCAGAACATTCTTTGTAGTAGAATATCAACTCTACCTCACTTAAATGTAATTCATGCACAAGTCAAGCCCTCACCCTAGATGTCATTTGTCTTCTTCAACAATAAACAATCAACAAAGTACATACTAAGCAGTTATATTTTAAAAAGCAAACAAAAACAATAACAAAAAGCCCAAAACCTTTCATTCTGATGATTTTTTTTAAAAGTTTGCTTTTAATCGGATTCTGCTAGAAGTTTTGGAAATATTTAGTTAATTTTAGTTGAGACCCTGGAGTTCAAGAGAAGGAAAGTGGCCATTATCCACTTTTCATTGATGAGAAATTTAGGTTAAGTGACTTAGACCAAACTCGCTCAGTGAGAAAATGGCTGATTGATTACCATAAGAGTAGTGTTGCCAGACGTAATTAGTGCCATACTATAAATCTTCATTCACCAAGTGAACCCACAACTGAAGTTAAAATGAATGAGAATTAATATTTATGTTTAATCAGAAATAGAATCTCATCTTTTTATTTTCCTGTTGGAGGTATTTTCCTATATAACTTTACCTTCCATTTGTGTTGTAGAAGGTCCCTAGAATTCTGCATTCTGTTTTAGACAAGTTTTGAGAAATAATAAGTGAATACGGTGCAAGCCTAGTTGTACAAAACTAAGATTTTGTATTACTCCATGATGCGCTCTGCATTCAAGCTAAATTGGACTATTTGTTTTTCCTTGTGCCTAATATTCCATTTTCAGATTATTTTCATGCCTGGAATTCTCCACTTCTCCTTCCTCTGTGCTTCATGGAACCTCTAGCTCCCTTTAAGGCTCAGCTCAAATATTCCTTCCTGCTTGAGACCTAGTCTAATCCTCTCCCAGCCTCCAAGTTGTTAGGGCCCTCCCACTGAAAATTACTTTGCAATTCCTCTGTGTGTGTGTGTGTGTGTGTGTGTGTGTGTGTGTGTGTATTTCACTTATCTGATAGTGGGGCTTAGTGGATACGGTGCTTGTCTTAGAGTCCAGAAGACCTAGGTTAAAAATATGCAGCTCTGTTTCATGCTGGTTGTATAAGCCTGGGCAAGTTAATTAACCACTTAGTCCTCTAATGTAGACAACTCTCTGGGAGGATGAATTGAGAACAGGTACTAATCTCCATTGGGCAGCTAGGTAGCCCCCTAATACATTGAGTGCTGGGCTTAGAGCCAGGAAGACTCATCTTTCTGAATTCAAATTTGACCTCAGAAACTAGTTGTGTGACCCTGGGCAAGTCACTTAACCCTGTTTGCCTCAGTTCTTCATTTGTAAAATGAGCTGGAGAAGGAAATGGAAAAATACTCTTTCTCAAACAATCTGCTAAGAAAACCCCAAACGGGGTCACAAAGAGTCAGGCAGGACTGAACAACTAATCTGCATTAGTAGGGAACATGACCCCTTGGCCTTCTTATACCAATGAAATCAGAGGTCCTATTCTGAAAAATTATTCATACATAAATTGTTTCCCTAAGTAGAATATGAGTTCCTTGAAGATGGAAAATGTTTGATTTTTTTTCCCCTTTCTTATCACCAGCATTTAATACAGTGCCTTTAACTATTTATTAATATGGTGCCTGGTATATAATCAATACTTAATAAATGATCACTGATTGATTGGTTGGATTGAATTGAATTAATATGAATAACTAATAACTATTCTTGACCTTTTTTACCAGAAGCCGCTATGAAACGTTTCAGTCAAAATGTTGGCAGCGTGTCACTGAGAAATGCTATTACGATGAGACTTGCATTAATACCTTCAATAAGGAAGATATAACTTGCTCAGCAGATGATAAATGCAAAGCTGCTTATATTGGCACCCTGGGGACCATCCTTCATGTCCAATGCACCTGCAGCTCCATTCCATTCACTGAACAGCCTTTATGTGAGATTTTTTATCACATGCTTCAGAGCAGGTCCTGCTTCAGTAAGTCATCTGCTTAACATGACCCTTAAGTATGTCAATTTTTATATGACAACTAGATCTAAAGCTGTGTGTGTGTGTGTATGTGTGTGTGTATACATGTATTAGTAGGGAAAGTGACACCTTGACCTTCCTATGCCAATGAAATCAGAGGTTCTATCTGAGGAAAAAAAATCCGTATACATTTTTCCTCCTAAACCTAGGTAAAACACAGTCTCCTTTGGGGGGATGTTTAATTTCATATCATGAGCGTCTAACACAGTACAGTGTCTTTCATGTAGTAGATACCTATATCTATACCTCATCTCCATGTTTATCTCTATTTCTAAATACAAATTTTTCTTTACTTAATTTTATACTGGTAAGCATGTATTTGCTACTTTTATTGGGGGCGATATATTGTCATTATTTATCAACTACATGATGATGAAATTATCCAGTTATTAATTATTAGTTTAGATGAAGGATATTATTCTAGAAGAATAGTTATCAGACTAGCTCCAGCCAGAACCATAGGTTGAGAGATGAAAGAGATCTTCAATGTTAAAGTGCTATTTGTTAATGTCAGTGCCTATGTGAGATTCACCTCTATTGTTTCTTCCTGATTATGATGTTGGTTGAGCTACCTATAATAATTTTCTGAAAAATCAGTTTTTTGGAATGCTTTGTTTTGTTTTAATTAAAGAGAGGAAGAGATTCAGTATTACAGTTCTAAAACTGAGTCACTCCCATTCAGAGGCCGTCCAGTCTAGTGGATTCTCTTCATTTTACAATTGAAAAACAGTCAAGCCTAAGGAGATTAAATGACTTTTGTCAGGTTACACCAGAATCTACCTTACAGAATTTAGAAGATAGATTTGGAGAAAAACAAGCCCCTCTTTTGGGGGAGGGGTAGTTAAGACAACACTGTTAATTGAAAGTTTGCACAGACAGGCTCAAGGACATCGACATTGGAACCGTGTTATTCAAACACACACACCCAACAAAATTGAGGCAAAACCCCTCCCCTGACTCTGGGGAAATCAAAACAAAACACCCAAATATTGTGAAAACTGGACCAAACAAAATCTCACAGAAAACTGGCTTCTAACAAGACACAACATTCTGAAATGCCAAAGCATGCACCTGTCTACAGGCCAAAAGGAAAGTGGTCACTCCTGGGTCAAGCAGGGAAGCCCGGGCAGCCCAGGAGCTGGGTTAGGGAGGTCATTTCAGGGCTGCAATTTCGATCTCTTCGGGAGGTTCTTGGTAGGAACTGAGAGAGAGTGCTACATTTGCGGGCGGCTCCTGAGGACCGCCTGAAGAGTTCACATCCCTCAGGCCAGAGGTGCTTTGGGTCAGCATGGGGCTCTCCTCCATCTTTTCCAGTGAAGGGGAACTTGACCCACAAAGACCTGAGTGTGTTGTCGTGGACTGGAGGCAGTCTTCAAGCTCAGTAGGGATACCACGGGAGGTCTCCTCGAAGTGTCTTTTCTGTTTCCTTCACATGGCATAGAACCCCACAGCGACAGTGGCGACGATGGAGAGGGTGAAGATCCAAGAGAGGAGGGGCGAGTGGGAGAGGAGACTCTGCTGGGGCTTCTGGACAGCAGTCTCCGTGGAAGTCCGGCCTTGTCCTTTGTCGCCGGCCCTCTTTCAAAGCTTCTGCTTCCCCGAAACGTTTCCATTCACTTGGTTCTTGGTAACAACTCCTGCAGCTCCTCAAACATCGGGATGTTCAGGAGGAAAGATGTCTGTGCCTCCTCCACCACCTTCTTGGTGGCTGGGCTTATCTCAATGGCGTTCATTCGGGACCGGTAAAGCTGGTTGAATTTGGTGGCGTTGGCGATGGCCGGAAAACTGAAGAAGTCCACCCCTTCCCCTGTGCTGGGGAGCCCCAGAGACTTCTGGGAGATCTTCTTAAGGATCTGACCTCCAGAGTGGTCCCCCAGGTAACGCGTGTAGGCGTGGGCCACCAGCAGCTCGGGATCAGTGTGGCCCAGTTTACGAAGACGATTCACGTACTTCTGTGTGGCTGCTGTGTAAGGGATCTCCTTTCTCCATTGGCGGCCGTACCAGAACTCCATGCCCTGCTCCAGGGCAGGCGTGCGGTTCAGCTCTTCAGGGAAGTAGACGGGGGCGAGGGCAGGGTGGGTCTTGTTCCGCTCCAGCTCCTCTTCCAAGGCCAAGTAGATGTGATACAGAGAAGACATCACCATCTTGAAGCCTTCCCGGGGCACCTGCCCCTTCTGGAAATTCTTTAGGAATTCCACATTCTCAGCCTGGGTGTGAACCTCCTTTGTGGCTTCTTTCAGGACCCTTGACAGATCATGAGGCATGCTGTCGGGCTGCTCTGCCTGGACAGTTTCCATCGCGATGTCCTCTTTCTTCTCTCGCCTCTCCCTGCTCCTGTTTGCGCTTCCCTGGGTCAGGAGTGCCTGGCCCCGAGTGCCCAAAGCCGCCCGCTCCGCCGTCTCCAAAGTGCCGAGAGCGCAGTGGACGGAGTTTGTCAAGTCCTTCTTTTCAAAACCTTTTTATCCCCAGCCCTAAAATTTTAATATTAGACAAATTAGATTTTCTGGTGATGAAAATTCTTATCGAATTCAATTCAGGACATGGAACAACATCTCTTTACAATGCTTTTTTAAGTCTCTGGGTCATGTTGGTTAGGATGCTTGTTCTGTAAAAGAAAATGTTTGAGAATGAACTATTTTAATATGCAAGTGAAATTAGTGCTTAAGTAAAAAACCTGTCAGAAAACAGGTAGACAGGATAGTGCAAATGGAATGTATGCTACCCTGCAAGCACAGGGACCTGAGTTCTAGGGCTTGCTCTGCACTTATTAGCAAAATGTCTCACCCGTCTTGTTCAGTTTCTTTATCTTTCAAAGGAGTGAGGATCATTTCAGCTACAAGTGATTCTATTTGCCTGGACTATAAATCCAACATAGAGCCTTGCACATAATTAGATGCTCAAAAAAAGTTTGGTGACTAGAATTCAATGTAATAATTAGGATACTTTCTAAATATACAGCCTTATTCATATCACTAAGACCTTGTCCTACTAAGTAAGATCTTTTCCTGCCATCTCATTGTCATACTGGCATTCTATCATTCATTGTGTACACCTGGGCACTCTGGGTAGCCAATCCCAAGCCAAATGCAAGGCCTGAAAAACTCAAAGAACATGGGGTAAAACCCTGATTAGTTGGGATATCCCCATCCCCGTTCCCACTCTGGAAATTCTTTGGCATTGCAAAAGATGCCTCACAAAAAATGTAGTTTAATAGAACAATGAAGTTCTGATTTCCAAAGGTGCAGATCTTAATCCATCCAGTGGTTTTTCATCCTGTACAATTCTTTCCCATATCTTCCCATACATCCTCCATTTGTCATCTGACCAATATGCCAGGTCCCATCTTTTAGGTCTCATTATATGGTATAGATTCTAGAGAAGCATGTGACCTGTCCATTGGACACTCCTTTCTCTCACTATATGACTGACCTTTCTCTTTTCCCAATTACACGTTTCAAAGACAGTATCTTTTATTTTGAGTCATTTAGCATAATTGGGAGAACATTGACAATAAAAAGAAAGAGCTCTTGTTTCAAGGAAAAAGCACTGAACAATGCAATCCAAGGTGTTCTCTCCATTTTTTTGCAATCTAGGGCAATTTTACTGGTCATCTACAATAATTTTCTGAGTTATATATACTGGTAGATGAGCTGTATGGCCTGTCCATCCAAAATGCATATTATAGTCTAGGCAAAAAATATTATCTCATTTTTTCTTATATGGATATATATTTATGTATATATATAATATGTATGTATTCATATGTTATTAAATGCATATATATATGTGTATATATATATATATATATATATATATATATATATATATATGAGACTTGGTAATTATCTGGAATTTGATTCAATCAGAACAATGTTGTTCAAACACAAGCAGCTAGAAGATCTCTTCTGTCTATCTCCTGAGCTATGCAGTCTGTATAACAGTATCTCAAAAATGCAGGGAGGATAAGCCTCCCTCTTTCATACAACACTTAATATTTATGTTCAGAACATTATTGAACAAAACTATTTCTGTTGTCACACACTTCAATTCATCTTGTTAGATTTTAATATGTACATGGGAGGACAGTTTTTAAGACACACTTTTCTTTAGGGTAAATATTTTATCAGAGAGAGAGACAGACAGACAGACACAGACAGAGAGATAGAGACAAAGACAGAGATAGAGAGAGACAAGAAAGACAGAAAGAGAGAGACAGAGATGGAGAGACCAAAAGATATTCAACAAACAATGAACACAATGAGATTCCATTCTCTGTATCTTCTAGTTAAATAAGTGACTGTATAGATATGGCCAGCTATCAAATATTGTTTGTAAAAGTCATCCTATTCTCTTCTCAAACATTCATCAAGGATATCCTCAATGTTTATAAAACATTGAGAGTAGAGAGTAGAGAACACATTTTATTTTCTTTTTTCTTCTAGTGCATAACACAGAACCTAGAAAGTAGAAGGGGTTTAATAAATACTTACTGATTAATGAATTACTGATTTTGCATATTGTTTTACTAAAAAGTAGGAAATAGATCTAGTAGTGGTAGGTTCAAATGAATATTCAGAGGAAATGAAAATAAAGAAGTGTTTTTTATTCTCTAGAAGGTCATATTTTATGAACATTTAAGATATCATTGAGGAAAATTTGTAAAATGGAAGCTACTGGAGAGTAGAAAGTAGACATGTTGATCTTTCAATATCGATATTCTTTCAGAGTCTTTTCTGTGGTAGTAAAAAATGTTATGTCATTTTCCAAACATCTAGTTTACTTCTCTTTTTTGGATATCAAGAGAACTCTCTAACACAGTCACAATTGTGTCATGTCCGTGGCATATTAACATCTTTTGTTAAGCTGTTGTTTCTCTTTGTTTTCTTTAACGCCATTTTAACTCATTTGTGTTGCACATTAATAATTATGGTGTTACATTTTCCCCTCAAGGCACCCTCTTTTTTTC